TTCCTAAGAAAGAATACGTTTCTTTACCACAAGGAAAGGGAAAATAGGCTGACAATATTCCGAGAAGATCGTTCAGAAAAGCGACTGTCGCACAATCAATAGAACTAGCACAACAGCCGCCTGTAGAGGATGAAGCAGTTGCCAACAAGCTGCATAACGTTTTAAAAAAGATGCAGCATACTGTGTTGTAGTTCGTTGAACCTTTGGATATAAAATGAATACACACTCTCTCTCACGAAGAATCGGTGGAAAAAAAATATACAGAAAAAATAGCGTTTGCGTACCTCCGTGATGCGTCAATCAATTTAATTTTGCGTCCGTTCAACTCTGTCCCGTCTAACGTATCCAGAGCCTTCTTCAAATCAGAATAGCTCGAGAAACAAACTACCCTAAAAGTTTCTCTTAAATTTCATAAGCAATCACAAAACGAATCAACGTTACCCTTCGTATTTGTGCATGCGATGAGCATCAGCGTAAGTTACCTCTCCAGCTTGACGCATAAAATCCTTCAAGTCCTGTGAAAGGCGTTACTATTATTCAGTGATATGCACATGACAAACGCCAACGAGCAGTGAAGAGACCAATATGGCGAGACTCGCCATTTTGTCTCTCACTGACACTGGCACAAAAATTCGCGAATAGCAGCAAAATAGTGAAGCACATAACTAGTAGTAATTGAAGATATGTCGCACTAGACAAAAAATATTAGAAAAAAATTTAACTAGGCATACATGATGATTAAGATTTCGAGAAGTAGCCGCCGAACACACGACACTGCCCGTACACGCTGGACGGCGCGAATGAACGAGCACTCACTATGGCGTGCACACGAAGAGTACACGCTACGAGAGCGGCGGAGCTGAGCGATCACGAGGAGCGAACGGAGCGTCATCACTGATTGGTCGGTGATTTTCCTTACGACCACCACCGGGACGTCGTGGCGTCGAAGTATAACGGCACGAAATCATCAACATAACACGACCATGCGATCAAAGCGCTCGAGATTTCTCGCCTGGCCGGTGCTTTGTGAACTGCCTACACACGCCTACGTGAAACGCCCCAGCTATAAATCGCCATGATTCGCTACCACCGATGCGCATCAGCAGCACCGCCAGGGAAAACTATTAAGTAAAATATTATCGTTAACGGATGATTGATAAATCATGGCTAAAAACGTTCAAGAAAATAGTAACAGCTGGTAAGAAGAAGCATACTATGCTTATAAAAAACTGATTTGACCTCTTACTTCTTAAAACACCATCACTTGGATTCTCACTCCATTTTGTGTTTAGCACCAAAATCAATTTGAAATAAGTGATGATGGAATATGCAGAACGAACACATTAACACACAGTTGTAACTGACACTGAAAAAATGAGCATAATAATTACCTGCCACGATATTCTTGTCGAAAGATTTTCCACGATCAACCTCCAGCGAGTTTGTGAAGGCGGACCATATCTGTAAAAATGAATAAGGCAATTATATTTTCAATCAGAATTTCAGCGGAAAAATGCATCATCTTGCATATCCTAAATAAATACTGAATACTAATGAGTACATGCTGATTAAGATTTCTACAGATAGTCGACCACCAACAAATGACGCAAACTGATACGGTAGACCATAGCACAACAATAATGAATGAGAATGAAACTCAACTTTACAAACCGATTATGCAAATGCGGACATTGAGCAGGCTGTACAGTGAAAAGCTACACATCCTTAAAATACGCAAGCTTAGAAGAATAAGCAGTCCGTCAGTAAGCTTGAGCACATTATTAAGAATAAGAACTCAGAGTTTTCTGTACTTGACTTTCTGACGTAACAAAAATAACACTAAAACTATTAAATTAAACGTTACATAACTTGTCTGCAGCACTGAACATGAGTCGCAGATGTTTCAGTTTCTTGCGTGAGAAAACTGGTTAAATCTATGCTTTCGTTATATGGTGAGATATATGTTCCTGTGGTTGCTGTTGTTTGCAACTGATCTCATTACTGCACTTTTACGATTTCGGGCGTAAGACCAAAATCTACAGAGAACAGACTAAAACGACGAGATTTTTATGCCGAATAAATAAATCTGTGGCGTTATGGTGCAAGTTAAAAATGCTCAACAACAGATGCAGATATGCTGCGTTCACCATTATCCTGACAATAATTAATGCAGAATCAAATAGGGTACTCTACTCAACATTAAGTAGATAATTTATGAATCAGTACTAAGCAGAACAATTCAGAAAGTGAGTACAATTGAAACAATGTAGAAAATAAAGCAGAGCGTAACTGTTACGTACCTGTCATTATCTCTGTCTCTGCGAGATGAACGATATTCGGGTGAACGATAAGAATAACGACTCTGGTAGTAGCTACGACTGCCACCAGAACGATAAGCATCCCGCCCTTTTGGAGGACGTTTGGTCATTTCAACTATCACTCTGCAAAGAACCACACAAATAAAAACAAGGTGCAGAAGAGTTGAACTCTGTACATTAGCAACAGAATATAATCCAAGGTCAAGTCTGAATTCAGTATATTGCTGTATCAACTACTAAATATTTAAATCAACTACTGGTGAAAATTAATTGATTTGACGGGGAGGAAAGAATTTTCCCTGTCCAAAACACCACAGTATTAACAAAATTTTAATAATGAAATTTACGAGTAGGGGTAGACAAAATCAAGGTTTAATTGATTTAAAACTCAAAAAAAATGAAACA